TCTATCTATCTATCTATCTATCTATCTATCTATCTATCTATCTATCTATCTGCCTCTATCTGCTTATTCCATCTCTCTCTCTCATCTATCTATCCACCCATCTATCCCTATCTACCTGTATCTGTCTGTCTCTCTCTCTCTCTCTCTCTCTCTCATCTTCCTTCCTTCTGTCCTCCCTCCCTCTTTTCCTTTCCTTTCCTTTCCATCAAACCCATCCCCTGTACGGTATGGCCGGCCGCGTGCATGATCGAAGGCCGGCCTCCGTTTCCCAAGAGCCAAAGGGGACCGAGTACCCGAAAACTGCAGCCTCATGAAGGCCCTCTCGCTGTCCGGCCCACTTCTCTTCTCGGCGTGCGACAGCGTGACGGAGCCACCTTGCAACCACAGGTTGAGTTTCACCAGGACGTGGTCTCTCTTTGTGAAGGTATTGATACTGGAGACATCGGGAGCTGGATCGAAAAAGTCATCGGCTCCTGGTTTGGGGGAAGAAAAAAATAAAATCCAAGGAGTTAAAAAAAATAAATAAGATAAACCTAATTTGGTTTATGAAGTTACTAATTATCAATAGAAGGATGGGTTGAATTGTGAGGTCCTTGGTACTCTCTGAGCTTGGGGGCATTTCTTGAAGACATTTCATCACCCAGCTAGGGAACATCATCAGTGCTGGAAGAGAGTGGAGTTTGCAGGGAGGAGGAGGAAGAGGAGGGGGAGGAGGAGAGGAGGAACAGGAAGAGGAGTGGGAGGGGGGCTGTGGGGTCTTTGGTGCTCTCTGAGCCTGGAGGTATTTCTTGCAGACGTTTCATCACCCAGCTAGGGAACATCATCAGCGCTAAAAGGGAGAGGAATTTGCCCACAGAGCACAGATGACGTTCCCTAGCTTGGGTCAGGAAAAGTCTGCAAGAAAGCAGCTAAGTTTAGACACCACCAAGTGCCCCGCCAAGGATGCTGAAGGTATCCAGGGAAACCCAACCTCTCAACTCCTCCCCTTCCCGTACCCGCAACCTCCTCCGGCCGCCACTCTTCCGCTGTGTCCGACAGGAGTCCCTCGATGGTCTTGGCTTCCAGTGCTTCTTGGGACTGGCTGTACCAACCTCCCCATCCTGGGAACCAGGACTGGAGGTACCGCAGCATCCCGCTGCTGCTGTGGCGGCCTCCTTCCAGTTCCGTCTCCACGGTGGAATCCAGAGAATCAGACAAGGGCTTCTTAATGCTCTGTAGGAGAATAAGTCCACCCGGGAACCAAGATTTATTTTATTTTATTTTAAAAAAAGAAGAAGAATGCAATTGAAATAGATCACACCCAGGTTGGTGGCAAAACCACTTCCAAGCTCAAAGAGACCTATATTGGGCTGGACTTCGGCTAGGGTATTAAAACCTGCTGGCGATGCCAACCGGAGGCCAAAGACAGCTCTGTAAAATCTGGGGATTTAGCTACGGAGCGCCGAGCGTCAGGAAAGAAAGATTCAAGAAAGCTGGAGGCGTAAAGGGAGGTGGCAGATGCAAACCTGGCCGTGCCCAGTGGAACCGGCCGTCAAGAACAAGACGCTCCTGTTGGGAGAAAGACCCCAACACCGCCGCAGTTCCCTAAGATATACCCCTTGTTCCTTAACCTACTCCCGTTTTGTTGGGGGTAGAGAGACGCTTAATTGCAACCTCCAGAAGTCCTCGCTAGTGGTTATTTATTTATCTAGCCTACGGCGATGTTACCTCGGTGTTACATTTCCAAAGCCCCCGAAGGCAGGACAAGAAACAAGGGGTGGAAACTCACCCAGGAGAGAAGCAACCTGGAATTTAAGGAGAATTAACCCGTGGAACTGCCTGCCACCAAGAGCTGTGGGTGCTCCATCAATGGAGGCTTTTAAGAAGAGAGGGGACAGTCCAATGAATGTCCATGATTGAAATGAAGCCATTTAGCTTTCCTGCCCGAGCAGGGGGGCTGGACTAGAAGACCTCCAAGGTCCCTTCCGACTCTGTAATTCTGTTGAAGATGAACAAGCCCCGCAGTGTCATATGAGACCCTCTCCCTCCACACCGAAGTTGTCTCGCAAAGGGGCATCGCAACCAGGAAGTAGGGATCCGACTGTCCGTACGAAGCGCCTGCTAGTCTTCCCACTGAAGTGGTACCTATTTATCTACTTGCACCGAACAGGTTTTCGCGCAGCTGAGGTGGGCTGAAGCCGAGGCAGGCGATGGGAACTCATCCCGCCACGCGGTGCTGGGACTCGAACCGCTGGAGCGAAGACCATCTCCAGAGTCGTTAAGCCACCGCGCCTCTCTGGTGTTCAACCGCTAGCAACACCTTGAACTCACCTCAGCCAGCTCCTGGAAGCGGTTGTAAACTAGTTCCCGTAGGATTTTCAGCTCCTCAAACGTCTGCTCGTCTTCGATGCGCTCCACTTCCTCCTGCCGGTAGGAAAGGAAACCGTGAGACGCTGCTAAGGAAACACAAGGCAGTCCTTGGCGTGCGGCCACCACCGAGCCCAGAATTGGAGTCGCTGAGCGAGATAGTCGTTAAGTGAGTTTTGTCCGTTTTGCAACGAACCCCGCACGGCCACCGCGAGACGTCGCAGACCCGGAGTACCTGCTCCTCCTCCGAAAGTGACAGCTCCTTCAACTTGTTGTAGTACAACTCCGTGTACAGGACCGCGTCGCGGGCGCGTCGCAAGGCGAATTCCCAGGAAGAACGCGCCTTCTGCTCCGTGATCTCAGCGAGGTGGGCATTCAGGGCGAAGAGCCACCACTCTCGACAGCTTGGAACAAGATGAACAGAAGGACGCTTGAGCGAGTGTGGCCGGGTTAAGGAGGCAGACGTAGAAACAAGGTGTCATGCCCTAGTTGGAATTTGATTCCGAGGGAGAGGTGGAACACCGGACAAAGGAGTGGGAATGTGGCTCCGGTGGCTGTGGAGGAAACTGGGGAAGGGCAGAGGCCGACTGGGCATTCAGAGGAAGACCCAGGCCCACCCCCTCTTCATCCTAGGGCACGTAGGGAGGAATGGAGAAGGGAGCAACATGGCTTATGGGAGAGGAAAGGGCCCTAATCCCCTTCATGGCCTGCAGCTGGGAAGACTGTTTAAAAGGGCAAACTGTGAAGTTGCTGGAAGCAACTGTTATGACTTAAATTTTAAGTCTTGGGTGGGAGGGTGTCTGTGGCCACAAAGGGTATTTAAAGAGGGTCCGGGGTGAAGAAAAAGTTGAGAAGGATTAAATTAATAAAAATAGTAACAGACAACTGCGATGGCTTGGGTGATTGTGGGTTTCTTTTAGGGGAAATGCTGGTTAAAGTGAAATTACACCAAGCGAAAAACAAAACAAAACCGATTTTAGTTTCTTTTAGACCATTTTTCTTAGACGACTTTTTAAACAATTTTAGGCAAGGCAAATCACCGTCCTCTGCCTCTAGCTACATCCCAGATTTTGCCTCAAGTTGCCAAAATAACCCTAATTAGGCATTTATTTTGACTCCCTCCTCAACCCCTTTAGGAACAAAAAATTAAAAAAAAAAATCAGGAATTTGGGTAGCCCCTTTTCTAAACGGATTTCAGTCCGAGGCATTTGGGCGGGCTGCAAATCAAATTAAAATCCGGGGAAAATTTCCTCCAGACTCCTTGGCCTTTCTCCTCTATTTGAGAAAGGGTCATTTCAACTTGTGAAGGTGGATAAACCCAGACGGGCATTTCACAAACAAAGGCAAAGGAGAACGCCTACTTTCCGCTCACTGTGACTTTGGGTCTCCATTTTCTGAATTTGAGCTGCCGTTCTTTTCTATCCAACTCCTTCAGGAAGTCCATAATTTGTCGGTACTGCATCTGAATGAATAAAATAACGGATAATGGCCGGTTAGGGCGGCTGACGGGAGAAGCCTCCTAGAATTTAAACAAGGCAGAAGGGAAACCAATATATATATATATATATATATATATATATTTTTTTTCATTGAGAAGGCAGAACTTGCTTTAGAGAACGGCCGGTTCATTGTACAGGAAGTCCTTGACTTCCCGGCCGCAATCGAGCCCAGTGAGACGGTTGCTAAGTGAGTTTCACGCCATTTCCCCTTAGGGGCGGCTGGATGGAGCTGAGCATTTACCGTCGGATTCCCTTCCTGACGCCTATGCGGAGCTCACAGCAAATATTTTCTCTACGCGCCCCGAGAAATACCGACCTAGCAATCCAACGCTCCCCGTTTCGAGTGGGAGGAGACAGTCATCCCCGCTGGGCCACCAAGCCACTCAACGTGGGGGATTCCCTGTGGCAGAACGCAAACCCAATTTTTTTTGTTTTCTTTCCTCCACCTGAGAAAGCTTCAATGGGATTGTTTCCAGCTGGATGTCGAACTCCAGGCGTGGCATATTCCGTGACCGGAGGGGCTCCTTGGAACAATTCCTCTTCAGCAGGGCAGATGTGCACACGGGCTCCATGATGTAATTATGGTCCCGGCGTGCCATGCTGTTATCCATGGCTACCTGGAAATCAGAATCACGTTAATTCCAGGTTTGTTTGCTTTTTTAAAAAAAAGTCTTGCCGATGGGCGTGCACAGAGGTGTGTTCTAACCCAGGCTTTGTCAAACGTACTGAAACACAAAACGTACTGAAACACAGAACCGGTAGGGAAAAAGTCTGAATCCCACCCCTGGCGTAAATTCAACAAATTAAGGGGCGTACCTGCAGCTCCGCGGGAAGCATATCCCCCCACAGGGTGCAATGACTGTCCCAGTAGATGCTGAAGTCGGAAATGTCCAGCTGTTTTTTCTTCATGAGTTCTTCCACCTTGAAGTAAGGGAGAAAAAAAATTGCACTTCAACCCCCATTCTTGCACCGCTGTTCCTTTCCGTACTTCCTGCCTTTCAGCAAAACTCTCGGCGGTCCATCTACAAGTGCCAACGTGTGAGCACTGGAGAAAGCGATCGTGCCTTCTATTCTGTTGTATTCTGTATTCTATTCTATTCTTCTCGTGGGAGTGCAGTGGATAGAACTGGCTCAGGGTTGACTCGGGCCTTCCGTCCTTCTGAGGTCAGTAAAATAAGGACGCAGGTTGTTGGAGTGCTGACACACTGACTCTGTAACCCGCTCGGAGAGGGCTGTGAAGCACTATGAAGCGATATATATAAGTCTAAGGGCTATTGCTATTCCTTCCTTCCTTCCTTCCTTTTCCTTCCTTCTTTCCTTTCCTTTCCTTTCCCTTCCCTTCCTTCTTTCCTTTCCTTTCCTTTCCTTTCCTTTCCTTTCCTTTCCTTTCCTTTCCTTTCCTTTCCTT